ATAGATATATAGATATATAGATATACATATCATACAAGATAGTGGCACAGGACTGTAATCTCAGCAGTGTAGGAGGCCAAGGCAGAAGTATCACAAATTCAACTTAGTGACCCTGTCTCGAAATAATAGTAATAGTAATAAATAATATTAATAATGGTGATGGTGATGAACAGGGTGGGGATGTAGCTCAGTGCAAAGGCCCTGGGTTAAATCCCTATACTGAAAAAAAAAATAGACCTTTACCGTGATAATTATGAATGGATAGAAAGGGTGGGTTACTCACAGTAGAGAGAATGTCTAACCATGTATGTCCCCCCAAGTGACTCAGTCACATTGATCCCTGCAAATGACGACTCTGGGAGGTGCTCTTTTGGGGGGAGGGGGTACTTTTTTACTTTTTTCCTTTTTTTTTTTTTTTTTTTTGGTCTTTTTGAGACAGGGTCTCGCTGAGCAGTTCAGGCTGGCCTTGAGCTCACTTTGTAGCCCAGGCTGGACTCGAACTCACAATGAACCTTGTCCTGCCTCAGCCTCCCGAGTGCTGGGATTACAGGAGTGCATCACCACGCCCGGCCCTGGGGGCGGGTACATTTTTAAAGATGCTTCCCAGGTCTGCCTGCAGATTTTCCCAGGAAAAGCCAGTGTGGTGGTGCACACCTGTAATCGCAGTCTCAGGCAACTGAGGCAGAGCATAACTGTGTGTTTGAGGCCAACCTAGGCTACATAGTGAGTTCAAGGCCAGCCTGGACTACATAGTGAGACCCGGTCTCAAAAAAAAAAAAAAAAAAAATTCTCCCAGGAGAACTTGGCCCTAGCCTGGAAGAACAGCTGCTCTGCTTGGTATAGCACAAAAGTCCCAGAGTCAATTCTGATTGGCTAACTTGGGTCATGTGCCTTTCTCTGAACCAATCACTGAGGTAGCATCATAGAGCATCCTGATTGGCTGCTCTGGAATAGAGGTGGAGTCAAGCAATGCATAAACCCCACAGGAAGGTAAGGGCAAAGTAAGGCCATTATCTAGCGATAAGATGTTATTTGTAAGGTGCTCCTAAGAATGGGGGTGGGAACTCACTATGAAATGTGATAGATTCTAACCAGTGCTCAAAGTCACAGATGGCACAGCATTCCATCTCTCTCTTGCCTCCCAGGTCTCAAATTTGACATGAAGTTCATGAACTTCCGCGTTAAGGCTTGTAACAAGGCAGTTGCAGGCGAGTTCTCCGAGTCAGTGACCCTGGAGACACCAGGTGACTGGCTCCTATCCTTTCCCTTCCCTGACTCCATATCCCCTCCCTCTTTTTTTTTTTTTTTTTTTTTTTT